CTAAATGACAACAATGTATTTTAATAAATTGTTAGTGTATAGAGAAAAATTAAGATTGCATTTTTCTGGGTTTTAAGTAAAATTAACTATGCTAATATTCTCATAGCATGTGCAATTCTAGTTGCAACAAAACACAAAAAAGAATTTAAGCTGTGTTTTGAGAAAAGATATATGAAAGAAGCATAACTTACTTCCTTGGGAAAAGCAATGATTTTAAAATGCAAATTACAGGGATAAACAGAAAGAGATAAAATAAAATAAAAAATATTTTTGGAGAAGTTTAATGAGGAAAGGAAATTCTTTTAGATGAGGAAAGATTTTGTAAAGTTTTTTTCTAAAGGAAAGAAGTGTTCAAAATTAAAAACTAAAGTGACAAAAAGGTGCAGTGTCTCAGTAAATCTGAAAAATATATAACAAATAGAGTATATAAATATTCATGAGCAATTAGGATGTATATAATTTAAACTTTTTAAAAGGATTTCCAAAGGCCAAAATTTAATGAGGTGATGTAAAATGTAAGAACTAATTTTCTATAGGTAAAGCAACAACGCTTTATTAAAAATATTGTTCTCCCTCAGACACTATTGGTGAGAATGTAAATTAGTACAATCAATATGGAAAATTCTATGAAGGTTCCTCAAAAATGTAAAAATAGAACAGGAATGCCACTCCTAGTAGTATACCCAAAGACCTGTAACTTGGGTTATAATAAAGGTACCTGCACACCCATGTTTCTCCCAACACTATTCACAATAATTAAGCTATGGAAACAGTAAGAATGTTCCAATAGTGGTGAATGGATTAAGAAAATGTGCTATTCATATAAAATGGAGTTTTATTCAGCCATAAAGAAAAATGAGATTTTTTGTTGCTTGCACGTGAATAGATAGAAATAGAGAACATCAACTTCAGTAAAGCTAGCAAGGTTCAGAAAACCAAAGGCCACATATTTTCTCTCATATGTGAAACATGGACCTAATACAAATACAGCAATATTATGAAAAACAGGTTACTCTAAGGGGAAGTTTCACAAGAGAGAGGGAGAGTAGAAGAAGGTAAATATTGTTCATGTGATAAATACAGAAATTTTTAACTTCTTGAAATCACCATAAGAAGGGTCTAATGAAGAAAGGAGAAAAATAGAGAGGGTGAACAAATTCAAGTTATAATTCATATATACATGGAAATGTCACAAGGAAATGTAATCTATAGATATCTTTTTCTTTTTTTGTAGTACTGGAGTTTGAACTCAAGGCCTACACTTTGAGCCACTCCACTAGTCCCTTTAGTGATGAGTTTTCTAAAGATAGGGTCCTAGGTGGCTTTGAACTGCAATCCTTCTGATCTCTGCCTCCTGAGTAGGTAAGATTACAGGCATATGTGCCACCAGAGCCTGGCTTTATAGCTATCTTAAACAAAAAAAAATGTCATTTCTTTTTACAATAATGGAGAACAGGAAGGCAAAATAAGTTATATCTAAGGAGTTGGTACAAGTGGGATGCAGAGGATATAAGGAAAGGGATTATGAGTGTGAATATCGTGGAAATATTATGTACTAATATATGAAAATAGAAAAATGAGAACTGTTGATACTATTCCAGGAATGGGGGAGGGCAGATAAAGAAGAATGATATATGGGGTGAATTCAAATATGATATATTGCAAGAACTTTACCCCCATTAGAACAATCATAAAAATAAATAAATACTACTGTTCTTTTAGTAACATTTGATAAAATAAATGACTTAAAGGACAATGAATTTTGTGTCTTATCAAGATTATTGCTTATGTTTTCTGCTGAACCTGTCAGGTTTTAGAATACTTAAGAAACAGTCTTAACAAAGTCAGAGTTCATTTAAATATCTGTTTACTTATAAGCCTTCTAAATGACCATTTTATAACTGTAGTTAAATGAACAACTATTATTGTAGGTGATTATAGTACAGTTAACATCCTATATGTCTTTGACTAAAAATATGTAGAGCTAAATGGCTGAACTTTATCCAAATGTTTCACAAATTTTTGCAGTTAATACATGCAAGCATACTAGTAAGTGCTCACTTTTATACAATATACATTGCAAAGGAAATTTCAACATATAAAAGTAAATACTTTTGAAATTCTGTTGCTTGTAATCAGTTCTATACAGATAATAAAACCTGCCATTTGGGCATTCTTGCTATTTAAAACCAACACTAAATCCTAATGCCTTGATGAGGTGAGGGTTTTATTGTGTATCAGTATTTCATTTGTACATCAAGAAACAAGTATATTTGTTGTCACTAGCACTGTCCCCTAATCTTGGAAGTGGTCTAAAGCTTTTGTCTATGGTATGGATATATTACCAAAGTACAATAATAAAAAATAATTAATACATAAAGGACTTCTTTGTATCTGTAATGGGAATTGTGGCTGGCTCCTTTATATGTTGGTTGTATTTTGGTTCCCCAAATATATAAGCCTTCTAAAATGCAAAGGTTAAGGAAACACTTTACCAAGTTAGTACAGGAAGTAAAATTGTTAGCAATGCTGCCAGTTTTTAAGGCATGCATTCACATGCTCCTAAATGTCAGATTCTCAGGTTCCATTTTTCATCCATCTCCTTTACTCTGAGTTGTTCTCTCCTGGGGTAAACTTGGATTCTCGAAACAGCCACACTGGTTGATAAACCTCTTGTGACAAGGGTTGAAACTATACCGTAGGCCGTAGGCAACAGTAACTCTTATCTTAACCAGGCCCCATCTGACCTTTCTTGGGATAATGATCAACCAGACCACACCTATGACCAAGACTAATATATTATGCAGACCTCTCTCACTTGACACAATTCTTCTATTTAAACATAAGGTTTATGTTAGCATGCCAAATATGTGGTGAAATGCTGACTTTGCTTCTTCCATGCATAGAATATTTCTGTTGAATAAATAATTTCCTGACTTAAAAAATGAAATCTTATGAAATATGATTCCAGGAAAAACTGAGACTCTGGACATGCATAATAAATATCATATTAAAAGTTTCATGAATATATGTGCAAATAAAAAGGAGTGTATGGGAAAAAACCCTCTCAAACTTGCACTTTTTTTCTTACACTTGATTTTAGTCAAAAGTCTGAAAAGCAATTACAGATTGTTTTCACTGATCAGAAAGTTGAAAGTTAGCCTCTGCAGAAAAATTTCGCTTTTAATTTAGATTTTCCACACAGACTACTTTGTATTTTACATGGATATCACTTCAATAGATGATAGTGTTATAAATAACATAAAACATTAGAGCTAAAAGAAGACTGTTTAATACCTGTTATTAAATTTGGATACTTGAATTCAAATGTTCTTTCTTTTTCTAAAACATAAATGCTAAAATACATCAACTTGAAAAACACACTGAAACTATTCATAGAGTTCCGGTGACATACTGTTAACAGAAAACAAGGGGCAGTTACATTTCCCCTGTGAGTGACAAAAAGTCCGGTATTATAAGGCTGCCCTGTGGTCCCTCAGGGAAGACTGCCTTCTCATAACACTTGGTAATTCCTCTTAGGTTTGGAATGGTGAAATGATAAGAAATAAAATGAGTTTTTAAACATGAACCAGTGCAGACTGTAAAGGAAACTTGCAACTCAGCAATCACTTGGAAATCACAGAGTAATTGAACAAACTTGGAAGTGGAACATGCAACCATTTTGGTATGAAAGTGTTGTCTGAGGGTAAGTGCTGAAGGCTGACCTTTGCCAACATATTTATAAGGAGTCGTGCAGGGTATAATAGAAAATGTTTCCCATGCATAGGGGCTAATTGAGGCTACAGGTTCTCACTTTCTACCTGAATCAAGGTTTATCTAATGGGAAAATGTTCTCTTTGTATTGATAATTTTGAAGTACATTTTGTCAACTGATGTATTTCCTGTATTTTTCAGGAAGAGAAAAGTAGTAATGTTTCTATTTGGATCCACAGCAAACAAACTAATTGATAAGAATATGGCACGCAATTTTTATTTAAAAATTTATGAGGTGTAGAGAGTTTTTTCGTGACCCTAACTTTCACTTCATGTCAGGCCACACATTTACTGTTTAACCATCATTTCAGGCAAAAATAGAAATATTTTTTAAAATATTATCAAGTGCAAGAATGAATGAATTTAGGCAAAGAGAAGCAAAAATATATTAAGTAATAATTTTACAGCTGATTGTATTATCATAAACAGGACCCTGTCATAGTAGCTGTTTATTTGTGTTGATTAGATTGAAACCATATCTAGATTAGATCTTCACTAACAAGACTGGACAATACCTATGTCCTGTACTCCTAATACAAACATTTGTACATAATATTAACCAAGAAAGATAATATTCATGCATCCATTCCCATTATTCTGCACAGAACTTAATTTGTGTTAACTTTATTTGAACTGACATTTTTAATGTCCTTTACTTATTGATTGATATTTACTTATTTTTATCCTTTATAATATCATTTCTTCCATTCCTTTTCTTTCCCTTTTCTTTCCATTCCTTTGATTCTCTACACTTTTATTTCCCACATGTCAAAAGATTTCTTAAAATCATCAAGAGGAATGAGAAATGTTATTTATTTTTATAGCTATCTCTAAAGTATGTTAGCCTGTCAATACAAAAATTTAACCTCAAGGACTTTCACCTGCCCTTTAGACCTCTAAGTCAAGTATGCTGATTGAATCCTTTCTTGTTCCATGGGAAATGACCAGACTACATTTTGTTAATTTTTTTCTAACTCTCCTGTCAATCACATTTCAACGTACTGTCTGTTAATATCACTAGATTTGAAAATTCACTATTGTATTGAAGAGCTACAACTCATACAGAATACAGTTGTGTGAAAGGATAAGAAAATATGAGTATTACCAGAAGACATAGACTCAAGTGCTCAAATATTAATGGCTTGCTTATCAGTGATACTGTTATTTCTGCAGAGAACAATCAACCTCAGTTACATGAGAATAACTTGAGTGAGTAACTATCCAACATGATCAATATAACAGAATTCTTGCTCATGGGATTCCCTGGCAACCAGGTGCAGCAGAGACTATGTGCCATGCTCTTCCTCCTGATTTACCTGGCAGCACTGATAGCGAACCTTCTCGTTATCACCATCACCACCATAGACCAGCATCTCCAGTCCCCCATGTTTTTCTTCCTGAAAAATTTGTCCTTGATTGATATCTGCTATATCTCTGTGACTATTCCCAAATCCATCGTGAACTCTCTGACTGGCAGTCATTACATCTCCTTACTGGGATGTGTTTCACAAATTTTTCTATTTATCTTTTTTGCTGGTACAGAGTTTGCCCTTCTTCTAGTGATGTCCTATGACCGCTATGTTGCCATCTGCCATCCCCTGCACTATGAGACCATTTTGAATAGAGGTTCCTGTGTGCAGATGATGACCGCAGCATGGCTCAGTGGGTGTGCCTATGGATCTCTTCATGCTGCAGGTATTTTCTCTTTCTACTTCTGTGGGTCTAGAATAGTGCATCAGTTCTTCTGTGATGTTCCATCACTTCTACTGCTCATTTGTTCTGGAGAGCAAACTCTAGAATATGCATTTATCATTGCGAGCTTTGCTTTTTCCTTTGTATGCTTTCTTTTCATGATTGTCTCTTATGTTTATATTTTCTCAGCTGTATTGAGGATTCCCTCTGCACAAGGCAAGTTAAAAACATTCTCAACATGTATACCTCATCTCCTTGTGGTAACCTTGTTTCTCTTTTCTGGTAGTGTAACATATTTTGGTACCACCCATATTTTGGCGTCATCACAGAACCTGTTCATGTCTCTACTGTACTCTATATTACCTCCAAGCATCAATCCACTTATCTACAGCCTGAGGAACAAGGATCTGAGGGCAGCCTTATGTAAAATACTGCATGGTAAAATGTTACCAAGCACACAAATACCTTTTAAGTGAATGAAATACACAAATACACTTTAAGTGAATGAAATCATTTTTTGATTTACATATAATCTCATGATCATATGTTCTATTTCTCTTGTCATAGAAACTCCAAGTTCTCTTTATGGAATTAAATTAATATACAATGGAGAGAAAGTAATATGTCTCAATGGTTGGAGAGCCTGCCTATCAAGGGTGAGGTTCTGACTTTAAACCCAAGAACTACCAAAAATACCTATAGCCAAGTGTTGTCAAATATGTCTATCATTCCAGTCACTTGAGAAGCAGAGATCAGGATGATCATGGTATAAGGCTAACCCAGGGAAAATGTTAGAGAAATCCCATCTCAGTAAAACAGCTGGGCAGTGTTCTTAAATACCTATCATCCCGGATAGGTGGGAGGCATAGATAGAAGGATTATGGCTTGAGGCCAGCCTGAAAAAAACATAGAGGCATCCAGAAAAATAAATTAATTGAATATTAGCTCATTGGGCTGGAAACATAACTCAAGTGGTAGAGTACTTGTCTTGCATCTACAAGACCCTGTGTTCGAATCACAGTACTCACCAAAAAGGAGATGCAATCATTTTTTTCTTGTAAAATTAAGAAGCATGTATGAATCAATGTTTTCAATGTATTCCATCGTAAATTTCTTATCAGAAAATTCCATTTGATTTATTATAATTGTTCCATCTCATTTTATACCACTAATTCTATTTCTATATATAGTTGTATATTGTTTTTCTAAAATCCACACATTGTAGTTCATTTTCTAGCACTTCACTTCATTAGTTTATAATAAAAAACACTAGTAAGGAAAATATCAAGATTTTTTTTAAATTAAGAATAGTAGAATAAAAATAATCTTTCTTAAGATTCTGTTCAAAATGTGCAAAAAAATTTGGTTAGAAAAACAGGTAAATGGCTGTACTTAGAATCGAACATAAGGGAATTAAAGATAGGGATAAGAAATGATAACACTCTTAGTGCATATTCCTGATTTAAATGATTTCAATGTATTACTTATATAATAACATTTTCAACCTGAAGAGTCTTTAAATTTATCATAATATTTTCTTTAACCTCTTACATATTTTTGACTGTCAACATTTCATTTTTTATTTCTATGGTTCATAAATTTATTTCATGCTTTTCTTCTTTCTCCATTCTTATCTCCTTTCCTTATTTCCTTCTCTTCCACATTCACTTCACCCTCTATTTTTTCTTTTCTTTCTACCTCCTAAAGAGACCTGGATACAACAGGTTCATTAAAAAATATAGCATCCTCTTTTATGTGTTTTTGTACACTTTGAGCCACTCCACCAGCCCTTTTTGTGTTAGGTATTTTCAAATAGGGTCTCACTATTTCCTGGGTTGGCTTCAAACTGCAGTCCTCCTGATCTCTGCCTCCTCTTAGTTAGGATTACAGTTGTGAGCCACTGGCACCCAGTCATGTGTTTTTGTTTAATTTTCTCCTTTCTGTAGTGTGTCTACTGTGCTGTTCCTGATTTGCATGTCACTGGAATGAGGCAACTTATTGGCTGTGCCTCAGTCTCCTGAATAATGGATTGATGTCTTTTTTGGCAACTTTCCTTCTTAAGGGCACACCATTTTCTAATATCATCATTTGGGCTTAAGCTGCACAGACAGAAGACACAGTGAACCTTGCCCTTTGTTTTTATTTTATTTCAAGTCTCTAGATATTGTTAAGATACTTACTTCATTCCAACAGTAATGCAGTTTATACTGGCAAATTTTTATCAATTTTTTTTGTGGTACTAGGGATTGAATTTGGGGCCTAGCTCTTGCAAGACAGGAGCTCTGTCACTTGAGCAATGACCCCAGTCTTGCTTTATTGTAATGTATTTTTGGAGAAGATAATTAAAAATGTTGAATGTATCAAAAATTAAACACCTCCAATACAGATTAACAGGGAGTGTCCATAGAGAATTTTAGATTGATAGTAGACCTAACTCTATGGAAACCACTTGTTATGCTGCATACTTCCACAAATGAGATTAGCTTCTAATGGAGTACCACACCTTAACTAACTTGCTAAGTAGTGGTGTAAGATTTTTTTATCAGTAAGTAGATAAACAGGGAGTTTTAGAATTAATGTCATCCCGGATTCAATGAGTCTAGTCAACTTGGGTCATTCACCTTAACTTTTACTTTTATGAACCATTGCCATTAATTCTCATTAATGGTATCCAGTAATCTTTTATTTAAAGCACAGTCAGTGGCTTTTTCATCTTGTGACTCAAAGTTCTATAACTTTGTGATGCATGTGAGTTTCTCTGCCTTTGCCTGTCTGTGGATGTTCTTTCTTTCACAATGAAATTCAGAGGATCAAATGAATGTTCAGAATGACAAATGTCCAGGTTATAAAGATAAACATATAGCACAATTTCTGAATGGATAAAGTGTACATAATTCAAAAAAATTCAATGAGAAATGAGTAAAATATAATCTTTCAGGAATTGGTTAATGTGAGTCAACTCCCTGTATAGCTATCCTTATCTCAACCAGCAAACACAATTGTTATTTCCTATTATTGCTTATACCCTCTCTTCAACAAAATTAGAGATAAGGGCAAAATAGTTTTTCTGGGTATTGAGGGGGTGGGGGGAGAGGGAAGGGGTGGAGTGGGTGGTAAGGGAGGGGGTGGGAGCAGGGGGAGAAATGACCCAAAAAAATAAAAATAAATAAAAAAATGAAAAAACAGGAATTGGTATCTTTTAGCTATATTTGAAAATTTTGTGGTGTTTAAACACTCATAGATTAGTGAAGTTTTTAAAATATTTTTATGAACATATATTAGTTGTACTGGGAAGGTTCATTCTGACATTTCCATATTATGCTTATAATATGCCTTATTTAGGGTCACCCCCACCATCTCTGCTTTACAATTCTATCCTTCATTTTTCACTCCATATTCATGTTAAAAGGAGTTTTATGAATATATTTCAGCTGCAAATGTACTTACTTTAATCAGACTAACTGCTGTATTACTTTCTCCTTCCTCTTTTTATTTACTCCTCTTACTGAACAGCTTCCAGAAAAAAAATTGCATGTACTGTCCTCAAAATATTTTCTTGATAATTTCTGCATTCATTCATTAGTGTTTTGTTTCTATCATATTTATAAATCAACCACCTTTTCTTTGTGTTTCTAAACAAAATATATCAGGCTTGAAATAAATTAGCTGAAATACTGTTTAGATTGTATATTAAAAATTAAATTGATTGACGATTTAACTAAGGAAGCTTTCAATAGCTTTATCAATTTTTTTCTGTAACAGGTAGAGAACATAATATTTTGACCATCTCTTTTGTGAAGATTGATATTCAAGGTGTATGTTTTTCTTGAACAATATCCAAGTAGATTTGATGACAATTGGCCTGAGGTCTGATTAGTTTTTCCTAACAGAACATTCTTACATTGAAAATATGCACAAGTTTGTACGGAACAAAGCCTAGAAAAATGAGCACATTTTAGTTTGAACAGTAACCAATCCTAATATAATACATGTCGGAAATTTTTTTTGTCACAATTTTCTTATTTACTGGTGCTGCAATTTAATCAGTTGAAAATTATTTCTATATTACAATATAAGCTTCATTAAAAGTTTGCCTAGTTAAAAAAACAATTGAAATAATTTGCAGGTTGGATCAAGTTAAAAACAGAATATCAGGACTTAAAGGCAATGTAACCGTATTAGAACATTCATATGAAGATAAAAGAAAAAATAAAGAGGTGTAAATGGAAAATGAAAGATATCTGGGACACCTTTAAAAGACCAAATCTATGAACAATGGGCATAGAAGAAGCAGCAAAGTTGTAAGCTAAAGGCATAGAAAAAAAATTGAATTAAGTAACAGCAGAAAACTTCCAAATCTTGTGAAAGAGATGGACATCCAGGTACAGAAGACTTTTAGGGTACCAAAAAGACAGAACAAGAAAAGTACCATTCCAAGGAATAGTATAGTTCAAACATTTGAGATACAGAGCAAAAAAAGAATATTGAAAGTTGCAAGAGAGTAATGCCAACATGTATAAAGGTAAACCCATCAAAAATGATAGCAAATTTCTCAACAGAAATTTAAAAATCAAGTAGGGTTTGGAATAATGTATTTAAAGCCCAGAAAGCAAATAACCTCCAATTGGATTACTATATTCAAAATAAATACCCTTCATTGTGGTAGGGTGAATAAGAAACTTCCATTAAAACAAAAACTAAAGGAATTGATGATCACTATGCAAAAACTGAAGAAGATACTTAAAGAAATCCTACACAAAAGGAAAGATAAATATAGCCAGGAATATATGGAAAACAATAACTCTCAGTAAACAAGTAGAGATACAAATGATGATTAGGAAAGAATCATACACTACAAAGACCAGTAATGGACAGAAATACTTCTTATCTTTCTGTAGTAACTCTCAAAACTAATGGCCTCAATTACCCAATCCAAAAATGAAAGGTGGATTGGGTTAAAAAAACAAGACCTGACAACTTATTGCCTACAAAGAAATTCATGTCACTGCCAAAAACATCTGCAGGCTTAAAGTATAGGATGAAAAATACATTGCAAGCAATTAGAGCCAGAAAGCAAGCAGGAGTAGTTATACTCATATTTGAAATAAAAGACTTCCCACCAAAATTAGAAGACATGAAGAAGGTCACTTCATACTGATGAAGAGAATAATCCATTAAGATGATATAACAATTGTAAATCCGTAAACACGGAAATTCAACACACCAAATTTCATAAACACCACTGGACATAAAAGCACATATAGACTCAAAAATAATACTAGCAGGTTACTTTAATATCCCATTCTCACCAATAGCTTGATTATCAAGACAAAACATCAGCAAAGAAACTTGAGAATTAAATTACCCTCTCAATCAAATTTACTTCAAACATCCACAAAACACTGTACTGAACAGAAGCAGAATACACATTCTTCTCAGTATCCTACAGAATTTCCTCTAAAATAGATTGTATTTT